CTCAAGAGTGACGTAGTGGTTTTCCCCGCCCCGTTTCCACCTGTAGATGGAGAACTGATCAGTATTAACGGAGGAGACACTTTTACCAGGACTCAGACATTACCTAACAAAGAGAAGGTACGTGCTTTTGAGTTTTTATTCGAGTGCTTTCTGTTTACAATTTAGATTTTATATTCACCGCATCATCAGACTCTCAAATTAAAGCAACGAAAAAGTAGGAATCCCCCGGTTGTCATAGCCGTTAATATCACCGCTTATTGTAATATCAGCACTCACGATTAACCTTCTTATCTACCACACTTCGAGAACAAAGCGATCGTGCCCATTTTGTTCCCCTGTTTTTTTAGATTCCTGTCTGCTTAACAAATCATTGCTCATGCTGGTGGCTACAGCGCTATCCGTGGTGCTGAAACAAAGATGCAACGTTACGATTGAACTCTCAGTGCCAGTATACTCAGAACCTTTTTTTATTTATTTATTAAAAATAGTTAAAAGCACAAGGTCATATTTTGGCGAAGAGGTGTTTTCTTTTTTCATTATTATTATTATTGTATCACTTCTGTTTTATTTCATTTTAATTTGCTGTGAATTCACTTTCTTTCTAAATACACTGCACTACTGAGGTAATATTCTAGCCTTTAATGCCTCTTCAGAGTTTCGGGTTCATGTCTAAAAACGGATATGCGCAAATATTTAAGTATTATATATAAAAACTGACAACTGACCAAGACAAAAACTCCAAGACTGGAAACGTAATTGTAAAATATTTGTAATGCAACAAATCATGGGGGCTTAATGTTGCTCATATTTCTCTTGAGTCGTCTCACATTTGCCACACGGTGTCGTTGGAGACCGTATAAACAATTGTATATCTATAACTCCACCCTGTACGGGAATACTGAGGCCGTCATTGGACACCAGTTTAAAGACACACTGGGACTATACTGTGGCGAGAAGGGCTGCTGCTGCTGGATAATGGTGTTTATAGCGGATATTTACAGGATATAGAATCATCTGGATTTACAGATTTATGCGTTGACTGTTCAACTATGGGAAACCGAGATTGTGCATGGATTCATATGGTTATACTTCTTTGTCTCTGTCACTGGTCTGCTTCACAATTATCGTACTCCATTTCCGAGGAGACGAACAAAGGCACTGTGGTAGGGAATGTCGCAAAGGACTTAAACCTCAATGTACAAGAGCTGGAAACCAGGGATCTGCGTATTATTTCGAGTTACAGTAAGAAATATTTTGACGTGAATTTAAGAACCGGAAGCCTCTTTGTTAACGACAGAATTGATAGAGAGGAGCTTTGTCTGAGAACGGTGCAGTGTTCCCTAAGAGTACAGGCTGTTTTAAGCAATCCAGTGAATGTGCATCGCATCGAAGTGACCGTGTTAGATATAAATGATAATTCACCAGAATTCATTGAAAAGTCATTTTCGTTAAATATATCTGAAACAGTCTCAGCAGGAGAACGATACCTACTGCCTATAGCGGAAGATGCAGATTTAGGCAGTAACTCGGTGAAGTCCTACAGGCTGAATCAAAATGAACATTTCTCGCTTGATGTACAGAGCGGTGATGAACATGCAATTTCTGCTGAATTAGTGCTGCAGAAAGCTTTAGATCGAGAAAAACAGTCGGTAGTTAATCTCATTCTGACCGCTGTAGATGGAGGAAAACCTGCCAAATCAGGAACACTTCAAATAACAGTAAACATAATAGATTCCAATGATAATGCGCCGGTGTTTAGCAAATCTCTATATAAAGTGAGAGTGACAGAAAATTCTACACCCGGAACACTTGTGGTTAAGTTAAATGCCACAGATTTAGATGAAGGCATGAACAGTAAACTACTGTATTCTTTCATCAAAAGGGGCAGCAGTGATCCATCAGATATGTTTGATCTCAATTCAGAAAAAGGAGAAATTACAGTGAAAGGTGGATTAGATTATGAAGGGACGCATGCTTATGAAGTCAGAGTACAAGTAAAAGATCACGGCATCTCTCCTCGCAGTGCGCATGCTAAAGTGCTTATAGAAATATTTGATATGAATGATAATCCCCCACTGATATCAGTGACGTCACTAATGACACCGGTAAAAGAAGACGCAGAGCTGGGGACTATTGTTGCTTTGATTACAGTGAGTGATAAAGATGGAGGGAAGAATGGTGTAACCAGCTGTAAGGTAGTTGGATCTGTTCCGTTTAAACTCAAGTCCAACTACAAAAATGATTATTCTTTAGTTGTAGATGGACCGCTGGACAGAGAAACCACTTCTGTTTATAATGTCACCGTTACAGCCACAGATGAAGGAAATCCACCTCTGTCCAGTAAAATGGTAATTACTGTTCATGTTTCTGATGTTAATGATAATGCACCTCGATTTACGCAACCTGTTATGGATGTGTATGTGAAGGAAAACAGTCCAACGGGCTCAGTAATTTATACAGTAAATGCCTTTGATGCTGATCTAGATGTTAACGCAAAAGTGACTTACACGCTGTTAGATAGCTCTCTTAAAAACATTCCAGTTTCATCTGTTTTAAATATAAATTCGGAGACTGGGGATATAATCAGCCTGCAGTCTTTTAACTATGAGGAGTTAAAAACTTTCCACTTTAAAGTTCAGGCCAAAGATTCTGGTGTTCCTCCGCTCAGTAGCAACGTCACTGTCAACGTTTTAATCCTGGATGAAAATGACAACAGACCCACGATTCTCGCGCCATATTCTGAGCATGGCTCCGTTAACAGCGAGAATATCCCCTATTCTGCTGAAGCGGGATACTTTGTAGCAAAGATCAGGGCCGTAGACGCAGACTCTGGTTACAATGCGCTGCTTTCTTATCACCTGTCTGAGCCCAAAGGAAACAACCTGTTCAGGATCGGAACCAGCACCGGGGAGATCAGGACTAAGAGGAGATTGAGTGACAATGACCTCAAAACTCACCCCTTAGTGGTCTTGGTTTCTGATAACGGAGAACCCTCCCTGTCAGCTACTGTGTCTATTGATGTGGTGGTGGTTGAAAGCACGGCTGAAATCCAGACTCAGTTCAGACATGTGCCTGTAAAGGAGGAAAGCTTCTCGGATTTGAACCTGTATCTGCTGATCGCCATTGTGTCGGTGTCCGTCATCTTTCTGCTCAGCCTCATCACTTTAATAGCAGTCAGATGCCACAGGACAGACGGCACTTTCAGCAGGTACAGCGCCCCCATGATCACCACCCACCCTGACGGGAGCTGGTCTTACTCTAAAGCTACTCAGCAGTATGACGTGTGTTTCAGCTCAGACACGCTCAAGAGTGACGTGGTGGTTTTCCCCGCACCCTTTCCACCTGTAGATGGAGAACTGATCAGTATTAACGGAGGAGACACGTTTACCAGGACTCAGACTTTACCTAACAAAGAGAAGGTAGGCAACAAAACACCAACCTTAATCCATCTTCACAAGACTGTTTGACGTTGATACATTATTTTGAACATAAGAGCAATTAAGCTTTGATTTAGCTTTCAGTACTTTCAACACTTAGCCAAAAAATCATTTAAGTGAATTTCTGGGCGCAAAAATTCAATGGTTAATGATATTTTGAGATTGAGTTATTAATTCATTTATTAGTCTTCACAGTTCATAAGAAAAAATAGCTGATCTTTTGTGGCCCTTGATACCGTGCTATCACCTCCTTTCTTGGAATAATTGTCAGTCATTTTTATGTAATCAACACGGTTCGCCATGTTGACCAAAACCACAAACTCAAATATGTGACAGCTGCTGTCGTTTTCTAGTGATGTGAAAGACGTGAAATTTTATGTGGTGAAAACTCACTGTCCGTGGTGCTAGACGTTGTGCACCAAGCTTTATACGAGGTGATCGTGTAGGATCATTCAATAACACGCTTTTAGTTATTATATATGTATATATATATGTGTGTGTGTGTGTGTGTGTGTAGAGAGAGAGAGAGCGAGAGCGAGAGAGAGAGAGCTTCAAGACTGCCTAGATTTAAAATCAGAATTATAATCTTTGTTAGTGTAAATAATGAATTACTTTAACTGCGTACATGCTTGTTAACTCACTGAAATAATCGAGCTTTTCCACTAACGAGATTTTCCCCTTACATTCTAAATACAACAAGTTTTTATTTCCAAACAAAAACGAAACATTCACTATTGCTTAAGATATTCGGCTATGTAGAATGCTGTTAGTAGTCTTTGTCCACATGATGTCGCAGGAGACCATAGACCTGAATGTATTCATGTAGTTAAAACTCCTCCCTGCACGGGAAAAAATGAAATACTCATCGGCCATTGCACACACGCGGAAGGTGCTGTGTCCATGAGAGTAGGAGCTCCTTATATAACTTATCGCTTCGGGTGTACATTTCTCAAATGAGGATTAATGTTCACTTGTGTTCACTTCTTTTTGTGGATCAACAATGTATATTCGACCAAAGGAGGAACACGTCTGGAT